TTTTTGGGCAAGGGGGGGCCCTAACCCCCCCCCCCGTTTTTTTTGTTTGGATTTTTTTATAAAAGTAAAAAAAACTTGTTTTTTTTAGTAAAAGACCCCGGGAAGGGGGTTTTCGATCCCCCCGGCAGGGTTTTGGGGTTCCTGGATTTTTTGGGGGGGGGGGGGGGGGTTCCCCGGGGGGGGGGAAACCCCCTTTTTTCTTTCCCCCCTTTTGGGGGGGTTTCAAAAAAGGGGTTTTTTGGAAATTTGGGCCCCCCCCCCTTTTCTTTTTTTTTTGAAAAGGGTTTTTTGGGTCCCCCCGGTTTTTTTCCCCGGGGGGTAAAACCCCCCGGGGGGGGTTCCCCAAAGGGGGGGGGGGCCCTTTTCCCCCCCCCCCCCCCCCGCTTGTACTGGCTGGTAGTGTAGAACCCCTCAGGAAACTGCTGAGAAGCGTCGAAGACGGACAGGTAGACGTACAAGCAGCAGGGGACAGGGTATTTGAAGGATGGGAGTCCATAGTGAACACAACGGCAGAGAGAGTAAAGAAGGTGGCGCGATGTGGGGTATCGGTTAAGTGGTGGGATGACGAGCTGAAAGAAGAAATAGGGGAACGTAGAGAAGTCTTCAAGCAGTACCTGAGTGAGGGGTCTGAGGAGAGTTGGGAAAAGTACAGGGCCAAGAGGAAACAGGTAAAGGGACTAGTGAAAAAGAAGAAAAAGTGCATTTGGGATGAAGTAGTGCAGAAGGCCAACGGAGGCCTGGAGGGGAACGCCAAGCAGATGTGGGAAGGAATTGGTGGAATGGTAAAAAGACCGCGCAAGGGGGGGATACAGGGGTAGCAACTTTGCGAGGTGTGAACGGTGGACTAGTCAGCAGTGGGAAGGGAAAAAGAGAAGTTCTAGCAGGACACTACAAAAGACTTGGAGTGCCTTCGGAGAATGAAGCTTTTGACCAAGTGTTTAAGAAGGAGGTGGGCGCATGAGCCCAGAAAGAAGAAGAGACATGGAAGGCAGACGTTGGGAACGTAGAACTAGAAAAGGAGTTCACTGAGGACGAGGTTGAGGCGTGTGTGAACAAGCTGCAGTGCCACAAAGCAGCAGGGGCGGATGGGATAGTCAACGAGTTCATGAAGTTTGGGGGGAAGGGGATGATCCAGCTGATGGTACTGCTGTACAACTGGGTGTGGACAAAAGAGTATGCGCCAAGTAGATGGAGGGAAGGAGTGGTTGTGAACTTGTTTAAGAAAGGAGACAAGACTGACCCAGGAAACTACAGGGGTATCACACTGTTGAACACAGTAGGAAAAGTGTTCTGTAAGCTGCTGAACGATAGGATAGTGGGAGTATTGGAGAAGGAACGTAGCATAAGTGAGGGCCAGGCAGGTTTCCGAAAGACGAGGGGGTGCGCAGACCACGCATTCACGGTAGGGAGAATCATCCAAGGTAGAAAGAGGGCGGGAAAAGCCAACGTACTGCTTCTTCCTGAACGTGAAAAAGGTACACGATACCGTATGAAGAAATGGGCTATGGAAACAATTATCCAAGTACGGGATCAAGGGGAAAATGTGGAGAATGCTGAAGAAGATGACAGGGTGTACGAAAAGCGCGGTCATGCTAGACGGAGAACTGTCAAAATTCTTCGACATTGAGCAAGGGGTCCCACAAGGTTGCACGCTGTCCCCAACATTGTTCCAGGTGTTCATCAACGATCTGTTGGAAGTCGTAGAGGCAGTCCGGAAGGGAGTAAAAGTAGGGGACACGGAAACTTCGGTGTCAGGAATGCTGTTTGCGGATGATTTTGTTGGTATGTCGGACACCCCTGAGGGACTGCAACTACAAATTGACGCGGCGAAGAAGTTTACTGACAAGTGGAGATTGTCTGCCAACGTTAAGAAGAGTGCTGTCATGGTAAACGAGGTCAGGGAGGAACCAGTAGAACATAGATGGAAGTGGGGGATCGAGGAGATTGCAGTAGTGGACCAGTAAACATACCTCGGAGTAGAGATCGCAAAAGACTGCTCGTGGAATGCACACATGTCCAAGATAGCGGAAAAGGGCAAAGCACGAGCAGGGAAGCTGCACCCAATACTCGCAAACCGGCACCTCGATACACGCATCAAATTGACGGTTTTGAAGAGCGTAATCGTACCGCCGCTAGAGTACGCCGGAGAAGTATGGGAAGGAAATAAGAAGGTAGTGAAAGAACTCGAGGCGGCGCAGATGAAAGCAGCGAAAATCATCCTAGGATGCTCCAAGCGCACACGTAATGCACCCGTCAGGGCAGAATTGGGGATCCAATCCCTACGGTCGGGAAGAGACGCAAGGAAGCTGACATGGCAGTATCGCATGTGCGG